TTGAGCACTTTTAATATACTTAATTTATACATGGAGAATATTATGTGTTTGTACATTTGGAAAGTGTATGTATTTAATTTAGATTTTATATTTGGTTGAAAAACGCTAGTTTAACGTTTCTGTTATAGATTCTCAGTAAAATTATATCCTGAAAAGTGACCTTTGAAGTCACGAAACCGATTAAAGAAATTAATAAAGAAGAGAAAATCTGAAAAGTCTGATATTCCAGTGTTTTGTGATATATATATATATATGTATCAGTCAAGCGGTAGCACTGCCTGTGTAAGGATAGCTCAGATTGTTCATTGAAATGGTATTTTAAATATCTTCTCAATAGGTCATCAGAACTTTACAATACTGTACAGTGTTTCCTTTTATAACCTTATATATGTAATGACTGAGTCACAAGTTCCGGGAGTGTCTGTAAATATAGCAAAAAGTAGAAATATGCTGCTCCTTTAGAAAGCTCATTTACAGGAATTACCAGCCAATAATAGATAAACAATATACATTACAGTTGGAACCTCATTGTATTTACAACTTAGTTATGCATGTCTATTGAAACACTGCATTAAAAAACAACAACAAGCAAACAAGTAAAGAAAAAACTTTTCCAAAGAGGAAGTAAATGTACCGATGACTAATATCAGGTAAGAATTAACATATAGCAATATATATATGTAACTATTCAATCACAATTGCGTTTAATTTATTATTTTTTTTGTCTGTTAACATTCTACTACAAAGTGTGCCTGTGCTGTTATGTAGCGATGATGCAACTGCCATCCCTATTATCTTGTTTGCATTGTTTTTGAAGTATTGATATTAGCCATCCCTACATTTACTTCCTTTTTCGAAAAGTATTTTTTCTTTACTTGTTGCCCCTCAGAGGCAATATTTCTGCGGACTTATACCGTTAGAAACGGGGTTTCGATACCAGTGGTGGGCAGGGCACAGAAAACTCTTTGTGTAGCTTTTTGCTTAATAACAAACAACAACAACAACAACAACTTTACTTGTTTTACAAATATATGAATTGATGGACAACTAGTAAAATGAATGGGTGGTAGATAATTAGATAGACTGAATTTAGAGAGTCAAAATAAACCGAATAAATCTGAATGTTAGGTATTTATATTCAAATAAATCATATAATGAATCTTAAAGTCCAATATATTGAACAAAAAATAACTTGCCGCCAAAACTACTCAGTGGGTGCTGGATATCAATTTAAACTTATATTGTACGTTGTGATATCATTCTGATCCAATGATTCCTAACAACTAGGGAACAATAAGGAATATGCCCCATAAAAGTGTCTATAAAGGGGGAAACTAAGCCATTGAGTCAATACAAACAGCTAAACTATACCACAACTAAAAAACTGCTGTTCCTGAGAGACACACAAAAGTTAAGAATAAGCTAATTGAAGGAAACACTAAAACGGCATGCCCGTATAGAACAAAGCTATAGATCAGTCATGGTTTTGATTGTAATCAATGCTGAATTGAAAAAGAAAGTTCTTATTTCCTTCTCTAAACAAAAGACACAGTGTCGTGTTTTAGTTAATTTCAATTAACCTTAACGACAGAACTCCGCTCCCAGTTTTTCACTTGTTTCTTAGTTGAGTGAAAATTCAAGTCCAGCTTCAAATAAGATATTAATTTCAACAGAATGGGCACTGATTGAGAAAAAAAAACAACAACAACTAACATTAACATCGACGTTCCAAGCAAGAAAACATATCTTGTGCAACCTGAAACTGTTACTGAATTATTTAGTTTTCAGACACAAAACACATTATGCTTTGTTGAACTACAAGCTTTTAACTCTTTCGTTGAAGCCTTCTTTCAACCGGTATATTGTATGTAGCAACTGTTGCACTGTAAACGTCTAAGAATTACTGTCTTTGAGTTACTGTTCCGATGTGTTCGAGATTGGGAATATCACTAGCTTGTACTACTACAGCCTGAAAAATTTTTTGTTGTGATATCAGTTTTGGCAGCAAAAATATAACCTTTACCCTCTATAGTTTATTCTCTTAGAATTGTGGTTTTAATAAAATTCAGATGTGCCAGTTCCGTGCTCTTGAATTACTAATTTATTAGCAAGCAGATGCAGTAGGTAATTTAATTATTCTTTTAAACTCATTATACTTCAACCTGACGAACTAATAGGTCGAAATAGGGCATCCTACTTGATCATGTGTTGTAACTAAATCAAAGTTAAGCTCATATTTTGAGCTTTCTACGAAAGGTGGGGCACGCACTACGTACGACAATATAACGACTAAAACTAGTTAGAGATAAAATTTGAAATGTATGTCTTAGATCAAAATATCAAAGAAAGTGCAAAAATGTAATTTCAAGGAAAATGTAATTCGATAAAAAGTGGATTGTTTGTTTGTTTTGAATTTCGCGCAAAGCTACACGAGGGCTATCTGCGGTAGCCGTCCTTAATTTACCAGTGTAAGTTTGTTTGTTTGAAGTTAAGCACAAAGCTACACAATGGGGTATCTGGGCTCTGCCCACCACGGGTATCGAAACCCGGTTTCTAGCGTTGTAAGTCCGCAGACATACCGCTGTGCCACTGGGGGGGTGCAGCAGTGTAAGACTAGAGGGAAAGTAGCTAGTCATCACCACCCACCCCCAACTCTTGGGCTATTCTTTTACCAACGAATAGTGGGATTGACCGTCACATTATAACGCTCCCACGTCTGACAGGGCGAGCATGTTTGGTGTGACGGGGATTCGAACCCGCGACCCTCAGATTGCAAGTCAAGTGGAGATAACATTTTTTTTTTAAATAGGTTAGTCACTGAAAACATTTTTCTTTTGATGTTTTTCACTTTTCCTTTTAAATATTGTTTTCTTATATGTTACGGACTGACTCTAATTATGAATTTTTCTTTTGATGTTTTTCACTTTTCCTTTTAAATATTGTTTTCTTATATGTTACGGACTGACTCTAATTATGATCTTTACCTTCCAGACCTGATAAAGATTTAGTTCATCGAAACATACCGGTCCTACACTTTCACCAAGAAAAATATCTAACAAAACGTATAGACGCTACATAGCAGTCTGATTTACGTTTTACAAACTATGATAATGGGTTTAAAACATCTACCCCCACTGTACGTAATGACAAACCTTAAGGTCCACGAATTTAAATAAAAAGTAAGATAATATGTAAAGTATTTAATAAGTGTTGTATAACAGTTCATAAAAATATGTTTGTGTGTATGTATGTATGTATGTATGTATGGATTTATATAATAAATGAGTATTGTTTTAATTATGCACAAAGCTACACAAGGGCTATCTGTGCTCTGCCCACTACGAGTATCGAAACCCGGTTTCTAGCGTTGTAAGTCTGCAGACATGCCGCTGTGCCACGGGGGGGGGGGGGCTCATAAATGAGTAACTTGTCCAGTTTTTAAATGAGGCCCAATATTAGAAAACGAGGGGTGAACAATATACTGTGTGTGTGTAAATACCCGAACTATTTAATGATCTAACGTTTATATACAAATGAATAAAGAATGCTGAGCATCAAGTAGATTCAATTAGCACATAGACTAGAAGAGTCCAAGCCAAAAGTTAGTAATACTGGAGCATAATGTGTTTCTTTAAAACCAGATTGGTGAACATCGATGAATATCTTATATTGCTTTTCTAGTTTATGATGCTATTCGATATCGTTATAATGTTTTTATAATGATGATTAAAGTGATTTAGACAGTTGTAAAGAGGTGTAGCCGTTATTCACTCACCGGAGCTTGGAGTTATTGGGTGCGAACCATTCGAAGAAATAAGGTCTGACTCATTAAATGCAAGAAAGCGGGGCTTTAAATGTAGTAATTCATCTCGAATGTGCAATGAAACTGCACTTGGTTATCTGAGAAAAGCGAAGTGACTATTTTTATATCATTTTCCACTGTATTCGCTGAAGTTGGGTTAAATAGATGATCGAGTTTTTCAAGTTTGGAAGCAAAACACTATATATATATACAGTTAGAGACAGAAAGAGATAGATATGAAAGTTCTTAAGTTATTTTTTTTTGTAAATTAAATAACAAAACATCTATTGACTCAATCCATTTTTTTTGTTGCTAAAATGAATTATCAACATGTTTTTAGAAGGACTTTAAATAAACGAAAGTGTAGTATAAAGGAACCCAAGTTCGCTTCTGTATTTGAGTCGTGTGGTGAAAGTCTAAACACGTACGTTTACCGAAGAGACTGGTATGTCTAAGAGTAAATGGTTACCCCGACAGTGGAAGAAATAGATGATATTTATTCTTACTGGAAACGAAAAATTTCATTAAGCTTCTGTGGCTAGATCTATAGCCAGGGCCTCACATCCCTCGTGACATCATCAGGCAATAGCGTTTTAGTGCACACAAGCATGCATCATTAAGCCCCTCACGAAACATCTACAGAAGTAGAAGCATTGTTCGACCCTCCTCCATCAGAAAATTGCCGCTCGGAAACCAAGGAAGAACAAGAACTTCAGAGATGTTCCGAATTTCAAAATGCTTTCCTGACAAATGGTTTAGAGGAACGTACAAAAATAATGTAATTCTATGTGCATAATACCATTATAAAAGATCTATGGAAAAACATTCATGGAATAAAAGAACATTGCTATTTAAATAAAGTAAATCTTTATAAAATTCAAAAGTTGAAAAGTTTTCGTTATTCACGGTACAATTGTTAATAGAAATACATAAATGAATGGTGAAGATATCAACTTCCTCATGATATAATATGTTGTTAGAATGAACGTATAGACTAGAGTTTTCAAGGTTCCATCTTTTTATTACAGATTTCTTTGCGACAGTGGCAACAGAATTTCGAACCATATAAACTATCGGCTGATCACTTTGCTATAATGACTAATACCAGCTGACGTTATCGTAGAGAACTGCGCATGCCTAACGGATCTCGGATCAAGCGCGTGCCAGACCGCGAGGAGCACAATGCGTGGTGTCTAACATGGCGACACTACACAACGGAGTACTAGAGCCCGCCAATCGTCTGAATAGCTCGCAGAATTTTTACGAGTCTGCGATACCAGTTAAGGATCATGATTCTATAAAGTTATTTGTAGGACAAATCCCTCGAAATTTAGACGAGAACGACCTGCGACCGTTGTTTGAACAGTTTGGGAAGATCTTCGAATTGACTGTACTAAAGGACAAATATACAGGCATACACAAAGGTAAAGTTATTTGACAGTTATCAAGTTTTCAAAAACTGTTATATTAGTGAATAATTCAAACTTTACTTTTTGCAGTATCAAGGCTTTATGCTTGCGAAGAATTAGATTGCAATAACAACTGGTTGAAAGTCCAATTGTTTGGTATTACTTACCGGAGTTCGATGCAACACACTGTTGACAATGTTCGCACGAGCATCGCTTGTGGTGTGAACGCTAACACAGTGTGACTGCATGAGAACGAGTCGACCAGCTGAGTTTTATTATTACTTTTTGTTTCTGTATTCGGTTGCCAACGGTGTTTCGAAATATTAATAATTGTTATTGGAGCAATATGCACGTCTGTCAAATTGTCTAGTAGTGATACGTTAAAGGTAAAGAACAAACCAAGAAAAACTTTGACAAACTGTAGTTTCCCGGGTGAAAATAAAGGCGGATTTAAAGATCAATTATCACACATGTGAAAGAAAAAAAAACACAAGAAAATCACTGTCTGATGAAGTAATACTAAATGCAGCTATTAGAGAATTGACAGTCATTGAAAAATGATCGAAATGATTGGGGTTGAAAACTGTTTGATTGATTTTTCGGGGAAGTATTTTTCCCCCGGTAATTTCATGTTCTGTTAATGATACTCACGCAGATTGAATTTTCTCGTTTTTATCTGGCTTTTTTTCTTACTTTTAGACAAATCTGATTTTCGGTAATGACACACCGAAAATCAAGCTTAGCTAAATCTGTTGACAATACGACATCTGATACACCGATTATCATTTCCGAGAACTAAATTTAACTAAATCTTTGGACTCGATACATCTGATACGCCGATAATAATTTACGAGAATTAAACTTAAATCAGTTGACTCGATACGACATGTGATGCACCAAAAATCAAGCTTATCTAACTATGTTGACGATACGACATCTGATACACCGATAATAATTTCCGAGAACTAAATTTAACTAAATCTTTGGACTCGATACATCTGATACGCCGATAATAGTTTACGAGAATTAAACTTAAATCAGTTGACTCGATACGACATGTGATGCACCAAAAATCAAGCTTATCTAACTATGTTGACGATACGACATCTGATACACCGATAACCCAGATGTCGTATCAAGTCAACAGATTTAGCTAAGCTTGATTAGCGATATATCAAATTTCGTATCAAGTCAACAGATTTAGATGAGCTTGATTTTCGGTGTCCAGATGTCTATCAAGTCAACAGATTTAGCTAAGCTTGATTTTTGGTGTATCACATGTATCGTCAACAGATTTAGCTAAGCTTGATTTTCGGTGTGCCAGATGTCGTATCAAGTCAACAGATTTAGCTAAGCTTGATTAGCGATATATCAAATGTCGTATCAAGTCAACAGATTTAGCTAAGCCTGATTATCGATGTATCAGATGTCGTATCAAGTCAACAGATTTAGCTAAGCCTGATTATCGATGTATCAGATGTCGTATCAAGTCAACAGATTTAGATAAGCTTGATTCTTCTTGTTTTTGTCTGGCTTTTTCTATTAGATAAATCTGATTTTCTGTAATGATTATCGGTGTTTCAGATGTTGTATCAAGTCAACAAATTTAATTAAGTGTAATCCTTTGAAATGATTATCAGTTTATCAGATGTGTCGTCAACAGATTTAGATAAGCTTGATTTTCGGTGTATCACATGTACCGTGAACAGATTTAGCTAAGCTTGATTATCGATGTATCAGATTTCGTGTCAAGTCAACAGATTTAATTAAGTGTAATTCTTTGAAATGATTATCAGTTTATCAGATGTGTCGTCAACAGATTTAGATAAGCTTGATTTTCGGTGTATCACATGTCGTATTGACTCAACAGATATTTTTCTTGTGGTATGATTTCACAAAGCAAAGAATATACATTTTTTGTTGCACAAATTGGTATCTTAGAATGATGTGATGAACGTCAGTCAGGTCCTCACTATTAATCTTTACCATATACTCAAGTCACTGTCTCGATGCTCCACATTTTCCCATTTCTCAAAAGAAAAAATGTTAGTCAGAGTACGAAAACGGAAGGTATATGCTGCTTAGAAAAATATTTCTGCCATGTTTATACGTAAAGACGAATACAATATATTATCTTATAAACACATGCGTATACAGACAAGTGTCATATCTCACAGTTTTGTTTCATAAATATCATATCCTGTAGTCGACTTGTACATCCCACATTATCGACCTTGCGTAGCGTTGTAACTTGTTACGTTGTTGAAGTCTCACGCAACTCTTGCGCTCTATTTGACGATTCCCAGTTGGTAACGAAGTACCGTTACGACATGATATGACTAAATTATCAAGTAGTTTTGGTACTCAAACATGAAACCGTTTTAATAAACCTTTGTTTTCAGAATAAGACAAAGGTTCAGTAAGTGAGCATTACTAATTACAGAATAATGTTGTTTCTACGAGTTAGTTAACTAATTTACACAATAAACTAAACATCTGTGGAATGAACATTTCAAATCGTGGGATAGTACTGGTATGATAAAACGGAACATTATGTTTCAAAATACAACTTAAATTGCGCTGGGAATAATTCAGATTACAGATTATATACATGGGCGTCCGAAGAATTTATTCAAGGTTGGGGGGAGGGGCAAGCCATCGCAAAACGCAGGATAACTTTGGGGAAAAATCCATTTATTGCGGTCCTCTGGCTGATTATAGCTTATTTATGTACATCTAATTTCGCCATTAGCATTGAAATAGTGCTATTTTCTAAAACGTTTTTTAAGTTAATTATTCAAATAAATTTTCTCCTGAAGTTCCAGGGGTGAGGTAAATGCTCCCCTTTTCCCCATCCTGCGGATGCCCATGAAATTTATATATATATTCGTAAACACTTTTCTAAATTAGAAATTTGTCTTAATAAGCGAGCGTTCCATAATTACAGAATTAAACGTTTTTACAAGTACATTAGTTCCTAAAATAAAACTAACCACCAATAAGTGAACATTTCAAACTATTTAGATTAAGTTAAAAAAAGTTTTCAAAGTTAAACTTATGATAATTTGAAACCATAGAATAAAACTTCCAAATAAAATGCCCCCCAGTGGCACAGCGGTATGTCTGCGGACTTACAACGCTAGAATCCGGGTTTCGATACCCGTGGGCAGAGCACAGACAGCCCATCGTGTAGCTTTGTGCTTAATTACAAAACAAACAAACAATCCAAATAAAATAATTATTTAGTAAATGAGTTAGTGCATGAATGAGTTAGTACATCAGTTACCAAACAAACTAAAACTGATATTTAATAAGCGAATATTTCTAATTTCAGAATAAAATTGTTTTTAATTCTTAGTGATGAGTTCGTATAGTGATTCCAAACTAGCTAGTTCCAGTGGCGTAGAAAGTGGGGAGCTAGTGGGGCCGGGGCCTCAGTTTTCAATATGTGCTAGTAAAAATGCACCAAGATTAGGAAAATTAATCTCAGGAAAAGCAGGGGAATACATAAAATTTAATCCAGAACCCAAGAGCTTCCTCGGATCTTGGCCTTAATGGGTACGCCTGTGGCGCACATTCCTTCTATTGGCCCCCACCTCACTTTTAATTTGTCGTCTTCACCTCTGAGTTCCGCTTCCAAAATGTTATGTATCATTTCGTATAACATTAACGTTGTAAAGTGTTTTATATCACATTGTCAAACAAAACTTTTTTTTTTAACCGTCTTGTGGACCGTCGGTTTTGAACCGTTGAGTTAGAACACGAGTTTCAAAGTGATATTACACTTTAATTATTGAACATTTCAGATTACAAAGTTTGAATAAGTTAATACATTAGTATTTAAAATAAAACTAAGATATGACGAACGAACATTAAAAAGTTATAACATAAAACATGTTTGGCGTATTGGTCAACCAGTTTTCGAAGCTAGTGCAAAGGCTTGGTGAATGAAACTTCCAAAATGACAGTCCATAATCAGTTTCACGAGTTTGTAAACCATTTTCTAAAAAAACAACAACAAATAAAACTGATTGAATAGAAAGTTCTAGCACTTATACACACATACATCTGTTCTTTAGTTGATATTTTCTAAGTAGCTTTTATGCGTAAAGAAAAATTGGAAGAATTATTAGGCCTTATTTAGAATTCTTCACAACCCAGATTCGAAAACGAGGCTGAAAATTTAACTTAGATGTTTGTTTGCAATTAAGCACAAAACTACGCAATGGGCTATCTGTGCTCTGCCCACCATGGGTATCGAAACCCGGTTTCTAGCGTTGTAACTCCGAAGACATACCGCTGTGCCACTGGGGGGGTGGGGCATTTCATTTAGAAACAAATAAGAAAATGACGTATAAATATAAACGTACCTGGATTATTTAATTAAATCGGAGTAAGTAAAATTCTGTGTACAAAACAGTCTCAGCGACCGATATTCGTAGTACCAGAAGACTAGAACGTTATTATTCACTGCCATAAGAACAAGAAGGTGTGAATACATAAAATAAGTTTATAGGAATAGAAATTTTAAAAGCTGCGGTGTACGCATTTTATGTTCAACTGCTGATAATGTAGACTTCTTTTACGTGAGTGATTTATGAAAAGGACGTGAGAAATTGGAGGAAGTCACGGCATCTTTCGTGACTGTAAGGTATACAAAACCAGTCTTCTTGTCAAAGTACCACTGCGATAACATGCGTTCAAAGATGAGAAACAATTACAGATACATAATATAACGATGACTGATCGTCTGCAAGTCCTCACTGTTCTTTTTCTTTACAGTGTCTCTCGTTTTTCAAGTACCAGGACACAAGAAAAAACAACATTTCAAATATTTTTTTATATATACACATACACAGTCCTAACTTATTGATTTCAAATGATTTGTTCAAGTTTAACTGTCCCATGATAATTATCGATCGATCGATCCACCCACCCATTCATTCATTTATTTACAGTTATCCGCATTTAAACACAGAGCTTCCCAGACAAGCACTTACAGTAACTGACATAGC